TGCAGGGCCCTTTAAGAAGAGGGTCTCTGAAATACAATAGTAGAAGTAGAAGTGGAGAGACAGAGACAGATCTGGATTTGACAGAAGAATCCATACAACTTGGCCACTGCTTGAATGTTGGAGGTGAGAGAGAAGGAAGAGCCAAAGATGAATTTCAGGTTTTGGGTTTGAACAAGACATTAATCAAGACAGGGAAAACTGGAAAAGAATCAGGGCAGGGAAAAAATGGCAAGTTCAGCTCTGGGAACGTTTAGATAAAAGTGTCTGTTGGAGATGTGAGTGAATATGTTCAGTGGGCACGTCAATAGTCAAGTTTGGCATTTAAGTGGCTAAATAAGATTTGATACACAGATTCAGAATTTGTTAGTATAAACATGGATAGTGAAGCTGTGGCAACAGCTCCTGCTAACGGAGAATAGATTAAGAAGAGGAAAAAGTCTATGCTCAATTCTTGAGAATTATCCACAGTGTCCTCACCTGGGGTTCACCCTATGACATTAATATCAAGGAAGATGAGGTTCAAAGAACTCTCTTTCTTTAAAAACACCCTTACCTGAGAAGGAAAGAAACACTGCTTGGGAATCCTGTAAAGTCAAGTCTTTTCCAGATTGTGGACCTGAAGAAAAATGAAGGACATTAAAATAGTTTCTTACCATCTCTGAAGAATTTTACCCCAATGTATTGAACACTCCCCACTGAAAATTCCTTTCACAGGCCTGATGGATTGATAATAAATCCTGTTCAAGCTGTGACTTACCTGGAACTACACTCATCACTGGGAAGCAGGAGCCTCTACATATGAAGGACTAGACAGTTATGTAACACTTGAGGAAGAATTAAAGAGTAGCTGTGAGTGACCTCCTGGATCTCGGATTTCTATGATGAAATCGGAATTGAGACATTAGGTATAGAATCAATAATTCTACTGACACGTGTACGCCAAGGGGGCTCCTGAGGTAACCTCTACTACATAACAGGTGTGTACAAAGGAGAGTTGCCTAACCCAGAGCTGACTCTGGCTTTGGAGAAAACTACGAAGAAAAGGCATCTGTGTTTAGACACCTAAGCTTGCTAAGATACTTATCTCAGCAGAAAACGGTGAGGTGAACCATTGGCCACATCAGAAGGGAACAAACCCTAGTTCCAAGTCTGAGATGAATCGGTGAAGTTCTCAAAGGACTCTGTTTAGATCCCAGGAGGGAAGGAGGTCAGAGAAATGAGGGGACTGGCAAGGTCTTTTTAATTCTGCTTTTAGGAAGGGAAGGTTAGTAGGAATGCCTTCTTCATTTTAAAATTACAGATATTTGTGCAAAGTCAATAATACACCCTTACAAATTTCTAAAAAAATTTTCAAATTTATTACTCAGTGATGTTAGTGATCTCCCCTCTGGGGAACTAATGAAATTTCTATGGTCCAGAGGGAATCCTGACATACGTGTTAGACTATTTTGTAAGTTTAATGCTATGCTATATATGAAAATTACAGGAAATTATTCTGTAAAGTTTACTATATGACTTCTATTCCCCACCCCTCTCTATTCTCTATACTATGTTCTCTATTCTCTACACTATAATGGTATTTTCTATACTTTGTCACTGTGAACTATAGGAAGAATAAAATTAATAACAATAATGTCCGACCCTTTAGAGGCATGAGCTCATTCAGCTCTGCAATGCATTATTTCAGAATGGTTTAGCAAAATTCCGAAATGTCAAAGAGCAGAAAAGTACTGGAGTCAGAATATGAAACAAATCCATCCTGACTATCAGTCCTGGGCTCTTCACCACTAAGCCACTCTGCCAGATGGCCTGCAAGGGTGCCACACGCTAACATATGTAACAGGATCTCTGACCAAAGTCTCTGGACAATCTTCCAGGTAAATTCAATCTACCTGTCAGTATCTTGAACCCTACTCTGAAAAGGAACCCTACGTCTGAAAAGGTAACCCTCAGTTAAACTATGTTTAAAATCACTCAAAACTATTGTTAATATTTCTCCCAGAGTCTGGAGGACTGTCAATTCCAAAGACAAGAATTGAATTTAATTCTATTTACAGTTTTATAAGGATCTCAATGTAACAACATCTGATTGAGACATTTATTCTAAACACTTTAAGAATTGATATAAACTAACAAATGAATACTTTGCCTTCATTTTATAGAACCTATTGAAGACAAGATTTATGCAGAGAAAATATTGTCTATTTCTTGCTCTTAATATCAAAGGTGGCCTACAAAACTAAGTCCAGGCAGCA